GTCCTGGCCTTGCAGCTCCTGGATGGGACACTGGGGAGAGCCAGGTGTCCCTTTCACCTGCCGGGACTATCTGCGGCAATCGCCAGCCTTTGCAACGTGAGCCTCAGTGGCTGTGGCCCTAGGGAGCAGCTGTGCTCCTCCGGTGGAGACGGAGGCCCCCGGCCCCCTTGCCCTGCTCCAGAGCTGAGTGCCTGGCTCCCCGAGGCTGGGTTTCCAGAGCCCGCCCGAGATGGAATTACAGCCCCGAGCCCGCGCCCGCGGCGGGTAGTGCTGCCTCCCGGCTCAGCCAGGCAGGGACCGGCTCAGAGACGGATTTTGCCATGTGCCCCCGGAGAGCAAGGGCTGCAGAACCCCCACGTGGGGTGGGTGGGAATCAGGGAAGCATCCCTGGAGGCCAGGACGCCACCACAGGGGTGGCGGGAGGGACAGGGGATGGGAGGTAAACGGAGGAGGAAGACAAGGATGAAGGAGTGGACCCACAGAGGCGGCCAGGGGGCCGGACGCCGGCGCAGGGCGCTGCGGGGGTAACGCAGGAAGGAGCGCGGCGCCACCCCTCCCAGCTCGGGCTGGCTTTGGATAGCCGGGACCCCGGCGCTAGGCCCACCTGGGCCTGTGGAAGGCTGGCGGCCCCCGCAGACGGGCCTGGCGGGGGAGAGAGGCAAAGTGCCCCCTGACCGCCGGCCGCCAGGCCAGGGCAAAGCCGGTGGTCAGGCTGAGCCGCCCCCAGACCCTCAGGGGCCGGGCCCCAGCACTGCCCACCTCCCCTGGGGCTGCCCGGCCACGCCCTGGCTTCCGTCCCGCCCCTGCGCTGGCCTGGCCACGCAGCTGGCACTCAGGGTGGTGGCTCTGCTCTGTCTCCTCGCTCGCTTCTGCTCCATTCTCTTCCCGCCCTTTCCCCCCCCCGTCTGCCAGGCCCTCGGCCCCCAGACGCCTCTCCAGCTCTGCCTCTGTTCGCTGACACCCGCTCCCTCCGGGGACGCAGCAGGTGCGGGCCGACCTCGCTCCTGGAGGGCAGGTCTCGAAGCACAGCCCCTGTGCTGGGGCCCGAGGGTGCTGGTGGGAGCTGGGGCTCAGGACGGAAGGGTGCCGGCAGTTGGCAGCGGCGCTTTGGAAGGACGGGTGGGGGTGGGCGCTTGGAACGGAGACGGGGCGGCAGTTGGCGGTGGCAGCTGGACGGGCAGTTGGGGCTTGGCAGGGGCGCCGGCCCGGAGGACAGCTGGGGCGGGGCAGCCGTGGGGTTGGCAGGTAGCCCCTGGCCCCGAGCGACTCTGGAGGGTGGGCTTGGGGAGGCCCGGCGGGGGAGCAGGGCCAGCTGGCCGCAGCGGCTGAGCCCGCAGCAGGGCTGGGTGGCGCTCCCGCAGGGCAGGCCCCGGCGACGGCGACGACGTGCGGGGGGCGGGGCCTCAGGCCCGCCCTGCCCTCGGCCTCGCTCCCTCCTGGTCAGGTCCGGCTCCCAGCAGGGGCCTGGAGAGGGCAGGGGCAGGCTCTGGGCAGGCCCCTGGGAGGGGGCAGGACGCCCAGGGCTGTTGCCATGGGGACGGCGGAGCAACACCGCTGGCTGGAGAATAAACAGACAAGTTCTCTGACGAGCGACTGCTATGAAGTCAGCTCAGAAAACGCAGCTGGGGGAGGACGGGGTGCGGGTGCTGCTGAAGGCCCGGGCAGGGGCTGCACAGGGCACTGGGGAGGGGGTGCCAAGGGACATTTGCGGCCCCTCCTGTCCCCCCCCCAAAGCTCCTGCTAGGCTCTGCCTCAGAGCAAACCTGCAGGGAGCGGACCCTGCCAGCCTCTCTGCCCTCCTGAGGCCACACAGTGGGGGCGGAGGACAGGGAGGGGCAGGCTAGCCCCTGGTGCAGGGGGCAGCGCCAGGGCCTCGGGGGGACTCTGCCAGCCACACGGCTCATCGAGCTGAGGCTGTCCTTCAAAGGTCTGGGGGAAGGGGCAGCATGTTTTGGGGGCTGCTGTCAGCAAGCACGTCGTGGCCCTCGAGCCTCCTGGCCCCCCGGACTGTCACAAACCTTGACGTGTCTCTTGGGCAGCCTCCTGACAAGCTCGCACATGCGGCCAGGGGTGAATTTCCACAATGACCAGCTTGCAATGACCAGTGAGTGCAGAGCCTCAGCCACCCATTTCCTTTTTTTTTAAAGTTTATCTATTTATTTTTTGAAAGGATGGAGCAGAGACAGGAGAATCCCAAGCAGGTCCTGAGCTGTCAGCACAGAGCCTGATGTGGGGCTGGAACCCACAAACTGTGGGATAGTGACCTGAGCCCAAACCGAGTTGGACGCTTAACTGACTGACCCGCCCCGGCACCCCTCGACCATCTATTTCCTCATCTGTCTTGCCTACCACTTAGCTAGGGCAGGGGCCACGTTCGGCTCGCCACGGTATTCTCAGGCACCGTGGCCCCTGTGCCCTCTCAGACACCCGTCTGCGAGACACTGACCCCGGACACTTGGTCCCTGGTCAAGAAGTGCTGCTGAGGTCACACCCTGGTCCTCACCTGTTCCCAGAGCTGCTTCCAGGGTGAAGCTGCCCTCAGAGAGGCCACCTCTTCACAGACGGTGAGAGGCCGGCTGACTAGCAGGTAGTAGGCTCCTCCCAGAGTCTGTGCCAAGCCTCAGCGCTGGGGGCAGGGCACATTATCTGCATGAATGTCCAGGGATCCAAGCAAGAGAGGAGGCTTTGCAACCCAGCCTGGCATCTGCCTTCTGCGAATCCAATCCTGGTAGCAGCTTAGCCAGTGCTGGGCATTGATGAATGTGGGGTTCCTGGGGCCATGCTCCCCATCAAAGCAGATGCATCAATGTGGCTCTGGGGAGTCCAGCTACATGATCCCCCTTTCTCTCCCAGCTCTGCTGAGAGGCCACAGCTGCTGCTGTTGGGTCTTTTCTTTGTTTCTTTTTTTGTAAATACTAAAGGAGTTATTAGCTCACAGAATGATAACCATCTGGAGGTAGTTGAGCTTCAGGTATGGCTTGATCAAGCATCTCTGGGACTGTTCTCTGTTCTGCTTTTTTTGGTGTTATCAGTTTCCTCTTCAGGCTTCTTGCCCTTCTGTTGGTTCTTGGAGCAGAAAAGATGGGACTCTCAGTCCCCAGTCCCTGGCAGGAATGCAGGAGGCAGGTAACCTTGATGTAGGGTAGGGGAACGGTGTGGGGGGGGGAGTCAGTCCTAGGGCCCCCAGGGACTTATTCCAGAACTCAGCAAGGCTGTTCTCTTTGGAGAGTGTCTGGGGGACTGAGACATCTTGGGCGAGACAGGGGTCTTTCAGGGGTCTTTTCCACCCTTTTCCACCGTGGGCTACACGGGTGTTCTGGGCAGGCAGGTGGGGGCGCTGCCGCAGGGAGGAGGCAGGTGACCCGCCCGACTCCCCTGGGTGCCTAGAGACGGCCTCTTCCCAGGGCAGCTGTGTCCAACCCTCACTTCCTGGCCGAGGGAAAAGTGCCTGTAGCTCCAGAGCGGGGGGGGGGAATGTGGCTGCGAGGGGGCTCCAAGGGCCGGGTAGGGAGCGGGCTCCGGAGCCGGGCGGCGGTGCCAGGCCCGCGCGGGGGTGTCTGCGCAGCCATCTCCGGGCGCCGGCCAGAGGCGAGGGAGTGTCCGGGCCTTTCTTCGCTGGCGGCCAGACCGCGGCTCGCCCCCGTTCACTCGCGGAGACTCCCCGCCGCAGCGCAGTGAATGCCGCTCACTCATCCCGAGAAAGCGTCCGTGACGGCCGCCGCCCCCCGCCGCCCGCGGAATTCCGCGGGGCCCGGCCCGCAGGGAGGCGGGGCGCGCACGGCCCGGCCGTGCTCGGCTCCCCCGCGCGGCGGGCCGGCCCCGGGCTCGCCTCCCGCCACCGCCGCGCGCGCGAGGGGAAGCGGGGCGGCCTCTGCCCCGCACGCGCCGGCCGGGAGTGCGGGGCCACGCTTCCGCCGCGGCCCGCCCAAAGGCTGCGCGACTGCGGGGGCGCGAAGGGAGGCGCGGGCCGGTCTCGGGCCGCACGGCTCCAGGGCGTGGGGGGGGGGGGCGTGGGGGGGCCGGGGCCGAGGCAGCTTGTCTCCCGCCCCTGCGCCGGGGGCCGCACACGCACGGGACTCACGACGCGGCGGAAGGACCCTCGCGCGCAGCCGCCGGGGTCCCAAGTTGGCCAAACGCAAGCCCCGGGGGCAGGCGCCGTCGCGTGGCCCGCGCCCCAAGGCGGCCCCCTCCCGGGGCGTGCGGGGGTCCCCCGACGGCGCGAGCGCGCGCCGCCCGGGCCGTCTCCAGCCGCGCGCCCCGGCGCCGCCCCGCGCGAGGGCCGCCCCGCCGCCGAGCCGGCGGGGAAGTCGCGAAGTTTGCGAGACGCGCGCGGCGAGACCGCGCATCGGGTCGTGGGGACCGCCTGTGGCCCGGGGACCCGCGCGTCCCCGAGGAAGAGGGAGCGCCGGGCAGGAAGCGGCGGGGGCACCTTCGCCCCCGAACCTCGCCTCCCTCAGCGGTGCTGGGCCCGCCGCTCAGCCTCCGCGGGCACCCGCACCGACGCTCCGAGACCCCCACGCCGCGCCGCCCCCGCCCCCCGCCAACCCAGGGGAGGGGGCTTCCCACAATGCCCAGCGAGCTCCAGCCTGCACTTCCGCTGTCCGGCCGCCCACGGGGCGGGCGGGGTGGGGGCCGGAGGAACCGACCCCCGCCGCGGCCCCCTCCCGCCCCGCGGCGCCCGAGCCCCGGGCCCAGCGAGGGGCGGGGCCGGCGGCCGGGCCGGCGGGGGCGGGGCCCGGGGCGGTGGCCGCGGCCCGGGCGCCGCGCGGGCCAATCAGCAGCGGCCGGGCGCGCGCCGGGGGGCGGGGTCAGGGTCCGCGGGCGGGGCGCGCGCGCGGGCGGCGGGGGCCGCGGGGTTGGAGCGGGCGCGGGGGCGCGCGCCGGCCTGACGGACGGACGGACGGACAGACGGACGGAGCAGCCGAGGCGAGCGCGCAGCTCGGACCCGCCCGGACGCAGCGCTCGCCCGGCGGCGGCGGCGATCACCGGCGCCGGTCCGGCGGCCGCGGCGCCCGCCCTCGCCCGCGCCCCATGGGGTCACAGGTAAGCGGCGCCGGCTCATTGTCCGCGCGGCCGGGCCAGCGCATCACGGCCGGGCCCGGCCGGGGCCGCTGCGAGGCCAGGCAGCTCGGAGCCGGGGCGCGCCCCCGCCGCCTGCTGCCCCGCGCCCCACTGCGCCCCGCCCCGCGGGGGCGCCCTCCTGGCGGCGATCGGCGCGCCCCGGCTGCGGCTTCGGGGGCGGCGGCGGCGACCCAGCCCGGCCCCCGCCGATCCTGAAGCTCGGGTGGCTCGGGGCGGGGCGGGCGGGGGCGGTGCGGGGTCCCCGCGGGGCTGCGCGCGGAGGCGGCGGCGGCGGCGGGGCTGCCCGGCGCCCCTAGCCCTCCGCGTCTCCTGCCGCTGCCGCCGCGATCCCTCCCCCGTCACCTCCAAAAGGGGAATTTTCCAGCTGGTAATTTCTGCTGCGTCAACGCCCGGCCCCAGGAGGCAGTCCAGGGGCGTCCTGGCGCCCCCCGCCCGCGCCGTCCCGCGCGCCCCCCGCCCGCGCCTCCGAGCCGCACCCGGACCCGCCCGCGCCGAGTTTGCCAAGAGTCGGAACTGCGGGAGGTGGGGGCAGGCGGGTCCCTGCGCCCCAGCAGGCCCGGGGGTCATTGTCTCCCCCTGACGCCGGGCACTGGCCTTGTCTCCATTTTAATTGCTGGATGAACCAGGGCGCAGGGGCCTCCGGGCCGGGCGGCCGGAGGAGCGCGGGGGAGCCGGGGCGCGCGGAGGGAGCGGGTCCGCCGCGAGCCGTGTCTTTGTTTCTCCGTAAATAGACATGTCAGTTTCACGGGGTAGCGCGAGTCCCTGGCTGACAACTCAGTCCGGTGGCAAGTGGGGAATTTGCTGCGCCCGGAGGGGGGCGGTGGCCAGTTGGGGCTCCCCTGGCCCCGGTAACAAATTAGTGATTTGTAGGTGTAGCGGACCACGCACAATAGGGTCGGGCCAGGAGCCTGGGCACCAGCCGAAAGGGGTGGAGAACATGTTTTCTAACACCGAGGAAATATAAACAAAAGAAAGTTTGACGGAGATTCACAGCGAATTTCCCCGGGCTGTCGTGCTGCGGTCTCGGCGACGCGTCCGCAGAGGGTTTCCGCGGCACGGTTGTCACCAGCATTGTTTAAAGAAATGCTAATTAGGCGACGCGCGTTGCCGACCGCTGGGCCAGGGCACCTGTGCACGGAGTGCTCGCGGGCAGCTCAGTCGGGTCAGTTGTAGAATTTTTCCTGTCGGATTTATTACCAAAGCTAACTTTCCGTGTGGGTAACAGACTTGTGGATTCAGTGTGTGGCCGGCCGCTCGCTGCCTCTGCACGGCAATATTTCCGCGCTGCGAGAATGGAAAATAGCTTGTTCTTCAAAAGAAATTTAGAGGAGGGCTTTTCACGTGAATAATGAAGTAAACAGTAGTATTTTAACCTGCTAGAACCCTTCCATTGGGTTTATTTTGTGACGGTTTTAGATATTTTGCACTGAAAACTTTGGGGTGCCTTGTTATTCCAGAAAGGATTAAGTGAGTGATAGGCGTGTGTAGGCAGAAGTCACTGAGATTTAAGCCCTGTGTCCTCTCTGGAGTTAGCCAGCATCGTCATATCCTTTACTGAAGGAAGGACCGGGGTAGTTGTGGGTGTTCTTTACTCACTTGGGGCCTTTCCTGGAGGCCAGCCTCAGGGGACAGCATTTTATTAAGCCTCTTGACATCATCCTGGATATAAGAATTTTTGTTTCGATGAGATCATTTCTGATCAGGTTTACCTGTTTCCGCTTCGAAAATGCCTTGTTCCTGTGCTCAGACCCCAGAGTACGTCCACTTTCTGATGCTCAGGCTGATGGCTGCCTACAGGGGTACCCACCCTCTTTGATGGTGTGTGTCCCCCCTCAGTGATCCCGGCCCGGTGACACCCGTGCTCCTCCAGTGCGCGTTAGCACGGAACGGGTAAAGCCAAACCCTGGAAAGGGCAAGCTCACTCCTGGCTTAGAGGAACTACTTAGGCCTGACACCCTTTCACTGTCAGACGGGGTGTTATTTACAAACACATTACACAAAATTAAGTTTTATCAAGTGAACTTTCCAACGTTGTCCGTATGTGGGGCTTTTCAAATTAAGAGAAATTGGGCCACTCTGTCCCTGTGGTATGTGTTTCTGGGACAGCGTGTGGCCCTCTTGCTTTGTTCTCCACCAGAGGTCTCGAACCAGCCTCCGTGCTGAGACCCACTTAGTGCGCGGTGTTTAGGAGAGCACCACAGCCTGGGAGCCTGAGCTACTTCCTTACTTTGCTGACGCGTCCTGTGCCCAGGCGCCTTCTTGGCTGCTGTGTGAAGGTGAGGGGAGGGTTCTAGAAGCCACTATTCCTCCCGGCCTCCCTCACGTCTTCTATCACAGCACCTGCCACGGCAGTCCCGTTCTGGGAGCTTTGTATCCTTCCTCACCCGTGTTCTCATAAAAATATGGGCTTTTGGGGCACTGGGGTGGCTCAGCCTGTTCAGCGTCCGACTTCGGCTCAGGTCATGATCTCACGGTGAATGGGTCCGAGCCCCGCGTCGGGCTCTGTGCTGACAGCTCGGAGCCTGGAGCTGCTTCTGATTCTGTGTCTCCCTCGCTCTCTGCCCCTCCCCCACTCATGCTCCGTCTCTCCTCTCTCGCTCTCTCTCAAATAAATAAACATTAAAAAAATATATAGGCTTTTTATTTCCTCTGACCTAACATATTTCACCTTAAAGTCTGTTGAGCGATGGCACATTGTCGAGAATTCCCCTGTGTATCGGCCCCCTCCCCTGAAAAAAGAATCTTGTTGCTACAGGTTTGCTTTAATGGGCTGACTGCTAAGAATAAGCGGATGATTAAAAATCTCTATTGAGGCCGCAGGACTGATTTAAGTGTTTGAAATACTGTGTCATCCTGATTGTGGTTCTGATGTCCTCTGCCCCCAGCTCGGGCTGTACACGGCCTGCGCGGCTGGGGCCTCACACCACGAGCTCAGGGAAGGTTCCCCTCTTTTCTCCATTCCAGCCAAACACCTGGCATCTTACATACGCAGGCCCAGGCTTTCTGTTCTGGTTTGCTGGTGAGGGCAGAATGTGGCCTCTGATGTGATTTGTAGATGAAAAAGTCATGGAAAACAGAAATAACCTTTCCTAACAAACTAGAAAGTTGTTCTGTTAAAGGGCAAAGAGAAGCCAGGCCAGTTAAATTTGATCCTAGTATGATTTATGCAAAGTTTTCTGTTAAATTTGTTATCAACAATGCTATTTAAGTAGTATTCAGATTTAAAAATTACTGAGTATTTCTAAACATCATTATTTGGACTTAATCGCTAAGCTAGATATTTTAGACTAGAAAATGAGAAATAACATTCGCATGGTTTTGAACAGCACTTACAGAGCCTGGTGTGTTGACAGGTGTGCTTTTGAGTCACGTTAGAGAGACACTCCAAAGTTTCTTCTTTTTCTAATGTTTGCTTATTGATTGACTGAGAGAGAGAGAGACGGAGGGGGGGGGGTGGGAGGGCAGAGAGAGAGGGAGACAGAATCCCAAGCAGGCTCCAGACTCCGAGCTGTCAGCACACAGCCCGACGCGGGGCTCGAATTCACAAATCTGTGAGATCAAGACCCGAGCCGAAGCCAGGAATCTGGCGCTGGACTGACTGAGCCTCCCCGGCGCCCCTCCCCCAGGGTTTCCTACTCGTGACAGCTCCCGGGGGCTCCCAAGGGCCGGCTCACTTCTGCAGAGAGTGGGCCATCTGTTGGGACGAGCCAGGCGTTCCTCAGACAGAAGAACCGGTAATGGTGTAGGTGACAGAGGGCAGTGAGAGCCCCAGAGGCCTGAGGGAGGACAGAGTGCAGGCCACTTGGTGGGAAAGGGGGCATCTGAATCCCTAAAGGCGGCTGGAGGAGGGAAAGGCGTCCACGTGGACCCCTACCCCATTGGGTGCTGGGCCCCTGGGCCCAGTACTCTTGGAGACAATTCTTGTGTGACTTTGCAGAGAGGGGTCTCTGGTGAGAGAGCAGGACCGGGCGGCTCTGGGGGTGACTGGCAGCAGAGGCGGCCCCAGACCCCCCTTCCACGGCGGCGCGTAGGCCGCTCTGTCTTTTGGAAGCGCTACGTGAAGCGGTCCCTTGCCCCCGTCGCCGCTCGCTCAAGCGACCAGGTGCCCGTCTGCCTCTGTCTCTCAGCGGAGAGGCGTTTCGTTTGCCCACAAAACTAGGAAGATCCACATGTGTGTGGGAATAATTGCTTTTTAAATTTTTAAAATATTTTTATTTATCTGTGTGTGTGTGAGAGAGAGAGAGAGAGAGAGAGACAGTGTGAGCAGGGGAGGGGCAGAGAGAGAGAGAGGGAGACACAGAATCTGAAACAGGCTCTGAGCTGTCAGCACAGAGCCCGACGTGGGGCTCAAATCCATGAACTGTGAGATCATGACCTGAGCCGAAGTCGGACGCTTAACCGACTGAGCGCCCCCCGCTGTGCCCCAATAATTGCTTTTTTAAATGGCCTTATTTATAAAGAATTTGGACAGCAGCGCTACTCATGTGGGTCCCGGCCGTCTCTAATCTGAGGCTGTGCCTCAGAAAGAGAGGTGTTGTGCCCGTCGCGGAGGCCTCACCCGTCGCTGGCTGGCACAGGTGTGTGCAAGGTCCCATGTCACCTTCTTCTTTCTCTGCAGCAAGGGGGAGGCACCTGTGTCTTGGGCCATGTACGGAGCTGCCTCCATGAAAGATGGACACACCTGGGCCCCCGGCTAATGGGACTTTGGGCAAGTCACCTCCTTAGTCCACGTGGGCCACCTGGTAGGTGGAGGGCCTGACCTGTGCTCTTCCGTCCGCCCCGCTGGGAACGTTCGGTCATGCCGAGGTGCCTGGGGTGTGGAGGGCGGAATGATTGCCGACCCTCAGTTGGGCAGGAGAGCACGAAGTCGGCCACATTGACCCGCCCGCCCTGCTTGGCCCTGGCTTCTGGGGCGTGGAGAGGCAGATGCAGGCAGATAGGCTTTCTAGAGACACACGCGC